TCCTAATTCATACCCCTACCACCATCATTTCCTGTAGACTGTCATTTCCCTAACACTGCAGAAGTGTTCTGTTGAAAAGGACATATCGAACATCTTACCCTTCTGATTTTTAAATGAAGAAACAGTAGGTACAGCAAGTGGCAGACTTGTCACTATTCCCAAGGCCTCTTCCTTATATTTGCTTCCTTATATTTGTAGGCTTCCTCTCCTACATGTGAAAGGCAAAACACTTTGGTAGTCATCCACATGAGATTCTCTGTAATCAGTTTTCTGTGTCTCTATTTTGGAAATTCTTATATTCACTTTATATATAGAGTTGCTGGAAGATTTTTTTAAAATATATTTTATTGATTTTTAACAGAGAGAAAGGGAGAAATAGAGAGCTAGAAACGATGAGAGAGAAACATCAACCAGCTGCCTCTTGCATACCCCCTACCGGGGATGTGCCCACAACCAAGGTACATGCCCTTGACCAGAATCGAACCTGGGACCTTTCAGTCCGCAGACCAACGCTCTAACACTGAGCCAAACCGGCTTCGGCTGGAGGATCTTTGTTCTTTTTGTTTATCCCACCTACAACATCTTTCTCCAGTTTCATCCTCTGTCTTGGTTCTTGGGTTTTGAACCCAAAGTGTGTCCAATAGTGTTCTTTAATACATTTTGTTGTTGAATGACTAACTGAAATATTTAAATTAATCACTTTTTCCAATATTGAATATGGCTAATATCCTTTAATATAAGTCAATAAATAACTATCACCATATTCCAAAGTTTGTATTAAAATGGAAAATATTGGGAGACATTCGCTTATGTATTCAACTCTCAAAAAGCAGTGATTTCTTAATAGTTGGCAATTTCAGCTCCATTACTTGCACACTTGAGAAAGTACATTTAATCTCCTGATCTTAAATGACCTCTGGTGCTTTTTTAAAGTGGAAATGGATCTGATCGATGGTGGCTAGGGATTAGTGAGGAAGAGGAGAAATGTGGAAGTAACAAGGGGAAGAAGATAGGCTAGAAGATGCTAGAAGAGAGTGAAATTATAATATGTTCTCAACCAAAGATATGTGTTAGACAATATGACCCAGACTTTATTTCTTGAATGAAAATTTGCTTTATAAGCATTATGTAAAATTGAATCCAGGAATTATCTTAACAGTTGGTTCTTGGCCACTAAGACTGGCAAACGATATCCAACAGTTTAAAATAATTAGAAAGTCAAATGGTTTATTAGAAAATGAATATTTCTTGGCTCATAACTTGCTCACTGGGTACATTAACCTTGATTATGGACTCAGCTCCACTCCATTTTAATGTGATCTGATAATGAATTTTGAGAGAGCTCTATAGAAAGAAAGTCTTTTTTTTTTTTAAAGATACAAATTAACGGGCAAATTCAGGACTATAATATAAACAGCAAATATAAAGCTTTAAATTAAGTGGTTAGTTGCTTATCCATTGTTGCTGTCTAAGTATATTTGGGAGATTTCCCCGGATGTTATGTTAAGTTTTGAAGGCCTGTGTAGTCTTTAACTTGATCTTTCAAAACAACAGAATTTAAGTGAATGTCAATAAAAGCAGTGAATTATAAATATCCTCTCTCCCAGCATATTTGGCCAGAGCTGTCAATAAATAAAATTGTATTTCCTAGGAGGTGAGGCATGAATACCAGGCTATGCATTTTAATTTGGTGCCTGACCAGAGGACCTTAGGAGCACATGAACAGTTTAGACATCTGTTGAGCTATTCTTAGAGTAAAACTGGACACATGCACGTTTTAGGAAATGAAATAAAATTTGTATTTGCATTAAAATGTTGTTTATATATGGCTGGTATATTTTTTACACATAAAAAGTTATCTGAGTTAACTACTATGGACAGCATTATTTGATCCTTTCCCTGCCCCTCCCTCACATGTTCATGGGTATTTCTATGATAAACTTAGTTCTTGCCACATAATACATATGTTTCTACTTCTTTCCCCCAAACTAAACAAAGTGGTAGATTCACCCCACGCTGTGCAGCTGCTGTCCTGTCTCAGATAGCCAGATGGTGGACTCAACTACAAGCAAAGCAGATGTTTTGCAGTGAGAAGAGCTCTCTGTATATGGCCTCCAACCCAAATGATAAACCAAAGGCTGTAGCCCCCAAACTGGTCTCCCTGAGCTGACACCACTGACCCAGCAGTTAGGCTGTCCATCAATCTAGATGGGGAGATGTGTGAGAGCGGACAATGGGGAAATGGGCCTGTGATGTGACTGCTTTCAGGTCATGGAGGAAGAGATGAGCTGTGAACTCCCCTCAGTGAGCAATGTCAGAGAAGGTTACCTTTCATTAAAAGGCTGCAAGGGAAAAACACATTCAGACAAAGAAGCAACAACTGCAGTAAGAGAACAACAAAGCCAGAGTCCCACCTCATTGCCTGGCGTCAGGACAAGGGCAGAGTAGAATCCTGCGGTCAGGGAACAAGGTTTATACTCCTTCAGCATTGTAAAACCGATCCTTCAGCAATCAGGCGCCCCACTCCACACAGGTGCACGCATTTGTAAAAGCAAGCGTTCAATGTGGTACAGCTTTGAAGCCGCAGTGCATACTAAATAATGGAGCCCTTTTGTTCAAAAGCAACATTTATTTTTTTTCAGGAAGATAAGAGAGATATTACATTTGCTATTTGCTATGCAGGGGAGTTGGGGGGTGGGGGGGGGGGAAGCTGCATGTTACCAATATGACAAAAACAACAATCCTACTTTTGGAAATGTTTTGTCCTCTAAGAACGTATAGAGTGAAAGGCATTATTTCAGGTGCATTTATTAGGGTTTTGAAATGCACTTTGTATGGTGAGTGTTTCATGCCTTTGATGGCAATGAAACAGATTTATTGGAAATACAATAGGCAACAGATAACCAAAGGAGACGCTGTAATAAAACACCGAGGAAAGAAAAAGGAAAAGTGAGTGGATCTGCCGGCTCACATTTTATCGAACAGATAAGAAGTGCAGATAGGGCTTTCACTGGCTCCAGGCCTGGAAGGTTTATTGAAAATTGGGTAAAACACTCTCATTTTCCCTCCCTACAGACATGATGTAAGCCGAACAAGCGAGCGTGCTGTAATGCATTTCGGTGTAGGAAACTTGCAAATGATCACAAAGAGGAAGAGGGATGTCTGTCTCAGCTGTTGCTGATTGCACGCTGGGATTTTGGACAACAGACCAATCTCCATTTCATCTTCCCACTCTCCCCTGGGAACACGTTGAAGGAGTGTTTTCAAAAAGCATTGGCCTTTCTTTTCAAAGAGCTGAGAAGAAATGAGCTAAGGACAGCTGAGGATTTAGTCCTGAGGGCACCATGCTTAACATTCCAAATAGATTGTGGTCACGCATCTGACACGAGGACTTCACAAACACCTGTCATATGCCCCTCGCTCAAATGGGGTCTAGTCAGTAGGGTCCTGGACTCAGGGAAAAAAGTGGCTCTCCTTTCTTCGTTCAAGGCAGCAAGAAAAACATAGTTCTCTGTGAGATGCCCCTAAGCTATCTTGATTTCAGGGATGCTTTCTTAAGAGTCTTGCTTCAGAGAATAATGAATCACTTCCTACTCCTGGAGTCAGTCTCCCTCCAAATAGACAGTAAGGAGCCAGAGAGAAAAAATTGCTCTGCATAGCAGTGATAACCACTGATGCAGAGATGGTTTCCTAGTGGTGGAACCGGGCCAACGTCTTGTCCCACAATGTGCAGAGTGGCTTCTCAGAATAAGCCCCGCAGATTTGGAAAAGAACTAGAGACCCCAGTTCAAATTTCACTTGGTTCAGAAACAGGACTTCAGAGATGGGGAGTGTGTACATGATTAGGGATTTATATAAATAACTTTGGGTTGTTTTAATACGCAAAAGCTTTTAGGCTGTAAGCAATCCATGACGGCTTGCCAAATAGAAAATGCCATTGCAAATCCATGTCTGTATATGGAAGAGATAGGAATACAGAAGCAATATACATAAAATCAATTAGCATAGTTTGAAGAGTTTGAAGTCATTATTAAATATGGGTCCTATCAAGTATTCCATCAGATTTCCAGTAAGGGGAATATTTCAATGCTGAATTTTTTGATTTTCAACTACCAAAATCTTTCAATGAACATTATTCTGAAAGGCTCATGTACTGTCCCGAGGCCATTCTGCAGAGAAGTTACTTCTGCAGATGGGTTTCTGGAAAGAAACAATTAAAATTTGCACTACAGCTTATAAATTGCATCTTGTAGGATTACGATAATAAACCTTCTGAGACAATTCTTTGAGCCTGGTGTTAAATAAATTTGCATGCCTCAGCAAGATGCACCAAAAGGAGACTTAATGACTTAATTCCCAAAGAGCCTGTCTTATCATGGCATGCTTTTGGAGACAGGTAATTACTGTCTCCATAGGTAAGGGTGTAGTTTATCTCATGAAAAAAACATGGTTTGGTTTGTGCCTTTTCCCCAGAAACCATATTTTCCTTTTTTTATAGGTAAGATGTATATATAAGAAAAACTCATCTTTTGGTTTTTAATATATAAGGTGCTTTCTTTAAAAGAGCAAGATGAAAAATTGTTTTGTGACTCAGAATTTAAAAATAAATTAACATTCCGAATATTGCAAAGACATGTTTCATGTATTTACTATGTCCCTTATTTTGTCAAGACTTTAAGGAGCTAAATGACTCACCCTTACGTAAGCTCTGCTGTACCTAGTTATATATACTGCATAAACCATTTGGCCATTTACATAGAGACATGGATACATCCTCAGGCACTATTATTAAATGCAATTCTACATTTTGCATATGGAGGTTGATGATATACCTTTCTGCTTGCCATGACAACTAACGAAGCGAGGCTGAAACTCAACAACCACTTGTATTCATTGCTTTGCAGGCTAGCAGTAAGTTCGGCTGCTGGTAAGAAAGGGGTCACCTGTGTCACTCCCTTAAACAAAAGGATCTTTTATGCTTAGTACACATGCAGATTCTCTTATCGAGGTGGCCTGGAGCTGCAGATACAGTCGCACCGCTCATGGTGATCCAACTGGATGTCAATGAGAGCCATGTACTTCGATCTACCCCTCCTCCTGAAATGGCCGGGATCAAACTTTAATACCTAGGACAATAAACACATTCCCTGTTAGAAAGCCCTTAGAGTACAACGCAAGAGATGCCACTTATTTTCTTTGTGACAGCTGGTCCTTAACCCTTTGAGAATTCACACATGTAATTATTTTTACAATTATCCACTCCTTGAAGTGAAGGGCTCAACTGATCACAGTGCCTCCTGAGTCACCTACCTGCAGAACCAAGATTATCTCAGGTGTCCTAGCATGGAATTATTGACAGCTTTCTAAGGGCCTGCTTTGTCTCAACTGCCGTCCCAAATATTATCATGACAATTCTTCTGTCAAATCATATGTTATGGATAAATAAAAATACTGAGCATATTGCCATTTCTGTAGATAGCACAATGAATAAAGTCATGAACATAAAAGCTGGTACTGCTAATTTTTTTACTGATGTAAAACAATTTTCCCTAATGAAGATCATTAGGGCTAGTTATTCTATATAATAAAAGGGTAATATGCAAATTGACCAAATGGTGGAACAACCCATTGCTATGACATTCAATGCAGGATGCTGTCCCCTAGTGGTCAGTGCATTCCCACAGGGGGAGCGCAGCTGGTGAGTGCAGGGGCCTAAGCAGTCAGTCGGACATTTTCTGAGGGCTCTCAGACTGGGCTGAGGGGACCCCTCACTCTTTGTGCATGAATATTGTGTACTAGGCCTCTAGTAAATAAATAAAAATATGTTTATGTTCTCACATATATGTTAATATGTAATACCTTTTATAATTTAAATCACTAAAATTTTTGCACAATACTTATATATCAATATAGCATTTCTTAAATTAATAAAGTATAAGCAACTTTTTAATGAATACATTTAAATATATATATTTTTAATTAGTGTCAATAGAAGCTAGCTCTTCTTTCCTGTTATGCCTTCATTGAAGTGAAACATTAGTCATTACATCACACATACTTGGAAAATTATATGCTTGTTCTTATATATACTATATGGTCAGTTTAATTGCTTTTCTTGTTTATGCTCTTAGGTTCTGGTTAGCAGTTAGTCTTCACATTTGATTTTGTTCTATTTTCCTCTTAGATTCTGAAGTCTGTCAAAGTACCATACAATTATGTGGCATTTTACATTTTTCAGAGAATTTGCACAAATGCACTATTTCAAACCACGTCTCATACTTGAGGAGGCATCCTTATTTCCATTTTATAGATTTCAGAATAGGCACTTTAAAGAAGGCTAAGGGCCCTCTGCGGACTTGGACCTGGGGACCAGGCTTTTCCTCCAGGCTCCTGGAACACTCTGACCCAGTGCCTCTCCATTGTGCCTACCATTTCCTTTTGTGACTCCTCGGGTAGACCAGACACACCTGTGCCATGTGAATGTAAATTATTTGGACTTTATTCCATTAGATACTATTAAGTACTTTACCCACTTTGTTCATAGATGAGAAAAGAGGGAGATTAAGTTAGTTGCCCAAAGTCACAGAGCTAGTCATTAGTAGAACGAGAATTTGACTCATGACCTTATCCATAAAATTAAAACTTTGTATAACTTAGCAGCATGTTGGAAAAATGGTAGCTGCTAAAGAAATCTCCTGGGTGAAGGTGGTGGGAGATGCCTGCCATGCAGGAGGGAGTGGAAGTGTAGGATTCCTCCTTTTTACTGCCTCCCCAGCTCTCCTCTATTCCACTTCCAGCAAACACAGGGGACAAAACAAGCCAGGAAATAAAGAAGAGGCCCAAAGAGTGACCCCTGCTTTGGACCCCTTTTAATCCCTTACACACTGTAAAGTACCGAGAGCAGAGCTACACTGACATTTACCCACTGCTCCCGCATTCTCTCCTGTTGGCTAACTATAGAACACAAAAGACGCCGCTTCTCTATGAAAAAATAAGCAAAAGAAGCAATGGTTGAAGAATAGATTAATCACCTTCTGGGGTGTTCAGCAGCCCTGCCCAGGACAGATTTGGTCAGAGTGCCTTGAGAAGGGGTTAGAGGCTGGAGTCCATAGCTTTGCCAAGAATGTCTCAATACAATCTAGCTGATGTCCAAGAATGGCTGCATGTGAACCAGATTTGGGGGCTGGCAGATACAGGGGAGGAACATGATTTACAAGAAGATGAACACACATTAAACATTCTCTGTGTAAAGAAGGCAGCTATGAAAGCCTTCTAAGTTGCAATGAGGGGTGCCTGTAAAATCAGCACCGTTGATTTGCTTTCTCATTCCATTTGCTTTTTCATTTGAGCTGAGAGCAGAAGCTGGGCAGTGTTCCTAATTTGCCTCCTGACTGTGAGGGGGTTTTCCCAGTGTCTCGTATTAAGCAATGTGAGCAAAGCGTATATGTGTTTTGCTGATAAGAAGAGAAAAATGAATTGGCAGACACTTTCCCAGACAAGACAGGAAAGCACTGTTTGAACAAAGTGGAAATTGGACTGCTTTGCTGACTGATCACAGGACCGATGTTCAAAGCTTTCAGGCCCTGGAATAGTCTTAAATTCAGGTACACAGCCCTGCAAGGAGGAAGAGGGCAGAGCGGATCTGAGAGACGGTGGAAAGTTAAAAGAAAAACGAAGAGCCTTTATCTGAGATAGCAAGCTGGCTGGTTATGGGTTATCTGGTCACCGTTGAAGGGAAGGAACCATTGAATTAATCACAGCCACTGCTGGACCCTTGCTAATAGGCACCATCACACAATGATTTCCTATTTCCCGAGCTGTGAGTCACAGCTGCAAGCACACAGGCTGAAGCGAAAATTCACTGAGGAGCCGTCGACCATGAAGAAATGTGGGTGACAGTGGAACTCTCTGCTCCTCTCCGCCACCTGGGAACTCAGGTGCTGCCAAGGAAAGTTGACTTTTACTAAATGGAGAAGGTCGGTGAAAGTTGGGAGCTTTCTTAACACCACACAAAGCCAAAAGCGCTCAGTTTGCAAATGACCGTATCACAGGAAATATTTAACTTCAGTGCTAATAAACCTCCCAGTGAATCATTGCCATATAGCTATTACACTAATAAAACAATACCAGGCAGAAAAGCTATCTGCTGAGTTGCCTTCTTGTTTATTGGGGATATATATTTTACAAAGGTTGTTCAGGCCTTGTAACAGTTCTCAAATGAATGGCTGACATAGGAACACAAGTACACATTTCAGGGTAAACGCAATGTCTAAACCTGAATCATTAAGAGTTCATTTAAGATTCTCCCTAACTTCTGAAGCAGGCAATGCTCAGTACACATACAGTTTCTTAAGATACGAAGAAAACACTTCTTATTTTTGCTTCCATTTTGACTGCTCATGCTTATAGATTATATGAAAAAATGTGCATACAGTTAAGATTTTAGGGGCTGGTGGTCAATTTTTTTCTGAAATCTAAGTGATCACAAGCAAAAATACTTTGAGAAGGGATTGCATTCTTTTCTACTTGGAACAAGATGCTCAGCTTGCAACAAGAATTGCAACAGAGGCAGCCTGGCAATAGAAGAACTGATTCCAAGTCACAAGACAGAGTATTCAACAAAAAGGACACGAATGATGAAAAGTTCAGCAACGTTTTGTTAACAAGTCAAGTTTGAAGGTAACCAAAGGCCTGGAGACTGAAACTCTCATAAATTTTGAAAATGCAAACTATATCAGTGAACATTTACTTCTAATAGAAGTTTTCTCTGAACACTCTGTGGTTACTAGGGGGTATACTTAAGTGCAGTCCCTACCTTTATAAAACTAAGTAGGCAAATGAGCTCAGTGGTTAAGCATTGACCTATGAACCAGGAGGTCAAGGTTCAATTCTGATCTGGATACATGCTTGGGTTGTGAGCTCGATCCCCAGTAGAGGGCATGCAGGTGGCAGCTGATCAATGATTCTCATCACTGATGTTTCTATCTCTCTCTCTCCTTCTTCCTTCCTCTCTAAAATCAATATAAAACACAAAGTATTTTTGCTTGTGGTCATTTAGATTTCAGAAAAATCAACTACCAGCCCCTAAAATCTTAACTGTTTGCACATTTTTTCATATTCCATTTTGACTGCTCTCATGCTTATAGATTATAATCTATAAGCATGAGAGTAGTTAGTTAATTAATAGTTAAATGATTTTAGAGAATCAGTGGCTACATGTTCAGCTGACCCATTGCAGAAAACATGATGAAAGTCTAGCTGGGTGTCAGATTTCAGAGGATGGCAATAGCACTGAGAATCATTCATGACACAGATGGGTTTTGTCTACCTGAGGAGCATTAGGCCCTAAGACAGGTTGGCTAATCTCTGGCAGAAAGCATGAAGTGAAGCTAGATCTGGAAGGGAAAGAATGAGCCCTTTCTGTAGCCTTTCAGGGGAGTCCATTCACTCACCAGGTGAGTGATCAGGGCTGTCAGAACTGAGGAAGCCAGAACAGGCTCAGAAAATCCCACTCACATCAGTTTTGTGCTTTATAGTCTTAAAATGCTTTCATCCCCTCAGTAGCCCTAGGAGCTAAGTAGCTCGGGTGTGATTACTGATGAATGAATTAACAACATTGACTGTTCCAGATTATATCTTTGTTCTTTTGCATTTACCTAGCACTTCAACCACCAATGTGTTTATATTCCATACAAAAGTTCAGTAAGACGAGATTTGGGGGCTAGGAAAGAGTGTAACTGAACAGATAGCAGGTAACTTCAGGTCTGTCTGGGACTCAACATTGTAGGTTGTAAGTGAGAAAACTTGGGGCCCTGGGGGTGGTGGTCCTCCATGAGGTAAAGCTGGAACCATTCACATATACTGCCCTGGCTCTCAGAGGAAAACAGAACCAGCCTGAAAAGAGCTGTCCTATGGCTTCAGTGAAGAGGGAGAAAGAAAAAGAAAGAAAGAATAAGGGTAAGTCTGTATAAGCTTTAGAAATGATAGTTCCAGAAAGAAAAAAATAGAGTAGAAACTCTGAAAAAAATATTATTTTGGTCTTCTTGGTCTTAATTTATAATTTTATCTAAAAATGTTTCAATAGAAAATATTTAAAGCATATAAAAAATGAAAGTACTATTCTTTTAGCGCAAGATTTTATTGCCTTTAATTAATCCTCTGATTCATATATAAGTATCTGCCTGTATCTCTAAGTCTTATAAACTGTAATATGAAGCAATTTTCAATATAAAATTCTACATTAAAATTAAAAGAATCCTGGAAAGTTATTTTTAATTCTGTGCAGAGACAAGAATGATTCTAGATGTTGTATAATAAATGTGTCAAAAACAGGCTTGTGTGTTCAATATGGTTGCTATTAGCCAGGTGTAGTTATTTACATTAATGTTAAGGTAAATAAAATGAAAATTTCCATTTCTTATATGTGTGACATAGATTTGTAACCACATGTTGCTAGAGAGTACTATTCATAGATATGAAACAGTAGAATTCCTAGATATGAAACTAGAAATTCTAGTAGTATATGGTTATATCAGCTTTGTGACAAAAACATGGGAGAAAGAACAGAGAAATTAATTTTTATCTCTCTCTCTCTCTGCGGCTTTCTACCTTTTTAGCTGTTGACTGAATGGTCATAGGAGACCACATGATGAAAAACAGTAAATGTTAATGAAAAAGCTCACCATATTTCTAGGGAACATCCTATTCCTTTATTACACATTATCAAGGGAAGATGAGAATTGGTATATATATATATATATATATATATATATATATATATATATATATATATATATTTACATTTATACACACACACACACACACATATATATATATATATATTTATTTATTTATTTATTTTTTTCCCCTCTGTCTACACAGTATGTTTTTTGGACCCTTCCCCATTTAAAAATCACCATCTAATGTATTTTTTATATCTTATTTATTCCAAGAGGCATAGAAAGGTTGTCAGGAAAAAGAAAAAAAAATACTTCAACAGGATACCTACAACCTTTGAGAAAAGAAAATAAAAAGATGCTAACCTTGTACTGCACTGTGAAGAAGGCTAACCTCCCTGCAGGAGAAATGGCACAGCCTTCGAACAGAGCAATGATATTAGATCCACGGAGAGCTTTAAATTGTCTCCATTTTATGCTTTAAATGCTGAGCATGGAAGTGTTTGTGGAGAGTCACACAGGCCTGCCTATGCGATGCGTCCAGTCACCCGTAGGGGTGCTCCTCTCTCGCCGAAACTCATTTCACATCTCATCAGGTATAACCAGGAGCTGAGGAACCTGGGCTTTCCCGTCTCTGAGCTAAGAATACAGACACAGAGGTAACAGGGTACAGGATGAGGGTTTCCCCCAATGAGCACCGCTCAAGCAACCCCCGTCCCTGCAAGTGGAACGAGCCTGCTGCCCTCCCTTGGGGCACTCATCAGAGTGATCACTGTGACATGCTTCAAGGGCATTTTAGGAGTTGGTGGGGGGGAGGGGGAGGGAGGGAGGAGGAAAGACCAGGCCTGGTGGGCAGGTACTGACTGCGTGATGCTGCTGTCTGGTCCCTTTGTCCAACACTTGGCCGGCTGACTGTGTGTATTGCTCTGCAAGCTCCTACAAGTGAAAATACTGTGACACATGCTTCAGAGATGCTGTAGACAGCAGTTTCAAAAGAGGGCAACATGGCTGACCTGTTTGTATGACTGAACAAAGACATCAAGGTCTTCCTCTTCAGATATTAATTGTTTACAGGCATTTGCAGGTAGTAGTGGTTGTGTACAGGGACAAGATAAGGAAAGGACTCTGTCTGGGAGGCGAGGGTCCTTTTAAGTGTGTATTTGACACTGCCATTTCCACAATGAAGGACTTTAAAAATTCAGCTGTAACTTGTAACTGAGCAGAGAGCAGAGATGAAAATAAAGCACTGCCCAACACATCAAAGCCTGGACTGGCATGTTTCTCCTCACAGCTATGACTAGGTGGACAGCCTGTCACTTCCAGGATTGCTGCATCTCTAACCTGGTTGTTCCATTCTGTGTTCACCTTTAGGTTCCAGTGAAACATTGTGAGATTCAGGCTCCGGAACTCCAGAACACGGTCCAATCTAGAGTTCATCGGGTCACACAAAAATAAAACACAATGTGCACCGATGACAGCATTCTCTGGCTATGAGGGCGGACTTTTTTTCTTTTTCTTTTTCCTTTGAAAACTGTGTGGGTGGAGTAAGAAATTCTTGTAACTAAGAGGGTATGTGCCATGTAGGTCTGAGGCGTGTGTTTCCTCTGCCGAAGGTAAGCATGGCCATGGGCCACAGCTTCCTGCATTTCCCAAGTGGAAAAGGCTGCTTATGACACATCCATTTTCCTTTGGCTCCAGGGTTACCGCCAAACCTAACATTATTGTTTTACTGTTATCAGGATAGCCAAGCACTTTTACAAAGCTGGAGGCTTCATTTAGGGAGCACTGTCTGTTTTTTTTGTTTGTTTGTTTTTGTTTTGTTTTGGCGGATACGGATAGAAAGAGACTCTAACAATGATTCCTAACAATAACGTTTGCCCCGCAGTTTAGTTTATATTTTAAAACATGTTTCTGTTTTATGTGTCACATCTTGAGAAACACCTTTCATTGGCAATACGTTATTTGATCTTACAGGACTGCTCTGTAAGAGCTTCTCTGATATACTTCCTCAGTCCCATTTCACACGTGTGAAAACTGAGTCTCTACACGTTAGTGACTCACATGCGCTCCCACAGTCAGGGTCAGGAGCAGCTCTGATTCCCCCGTGGGTACTCTTTAATGCTCAATAAAATGCTATGTCTTAAAGAGACAGCACAGCATTATTAGGAACAAGAACATAGACCCCGGGAGCAGCGATCAGAGTGCAGGTCCTGGCTCTGTGACTCACCAACCATGTCGCATTGGCCGACTAATGGATCCTCTTAGGCCTCAGTCTATTCCCCACCCCAATCCCCTCTACAGTGGTGCTGAGAAAATACTAAGTGAGTTAATGATTCTTTATAATAATATCTGGCACATTCTAAATACTTAAGAGAGATTGTTGATATGATTATGATTAAAGGTCACCGTTCTCTCCTTAAATTTTTGTTTTTCTTATTTATTTTATTTATTGTTGCATAATTTCAGAGCAGATTCCCTAGGTAGCACTCAGTAGTATTTAGGGAAAAAATTAGTATTTCTAAAAGAGAAATTCTTTTATAATTACAGGATTATGCAATGGTCCTGTCTTCGACGATGTGTATTTTCTGACAAATATTTACTATCGTTGCTTAATTTTTAATTACTTGTTTGAATTAAAGTTTGGCTTTTAGCTTTTTCTTAAAAGGACCTACCTGCATTTTGAATCAGATCCTTTAAACAAATAACATCATATTTCTACAAAGGAAGCCAAATAAGTTCTAAAATTACTTCACCATACATTTGTTTATCCACTTACTCTGTCAACCCAGGTGGTATACTATGAGGATCAGAAAAGAAGTCCCGTTTTCAGAAGGAACTTAGATCCTCCCCAGGGCACTTAGCTTGACAAATTTAGCACAAGTTTAGGTCCCAGTCATCCCCCTGGCCCGGTGCCCTTTTGCATAGAGGAACTGACCAACTGTACGCAACGGTCCTGTCTTCTAGTTCCCCGTGAATTACATGCCTTTTGCAGCCGAAACTGCTAAACGCGGCGCTTCAACAGAGACATGGGAACATGACGTACCTCGTGATACTTTTTCACCGTTTTCCCTGACGCGCACCTGCAGGACTTCCAGTTGGCAGTGCCGCAGCCACAGTTCCCCCCGCAACGCTGCACCAGGAGGCAGCGCGGGAAGAAGACCACGTTGGTCAGCTTCAGCTCCTCTCGTAGGTTCACTGAGTAGTTCCTGGGAGTGCAGCTGTAGCGCTTGACATCCTCGTTGAGCCTGTCCAGGTCCACTGTAAGAAACACAGGCCGTGTGAGCAAGTGCATGGCGGTGAGCAACACACGCAGCATGTGTTTCCGGGAAAGGGACTGAATATGTCTTTGGGATCTCAATTATACTCCAAATATCACAGATGAAATGTCTCATTTTTCTATTGATCCTACGTGCCCTTCAAAAAAATAGTTATCATCAACAACAACAAAGAAAAACAAAAAACCCTAAAAAATGTGGCTGAATCTATATAATGGTTCAAATTTTCTTGTACATTTTGTAATGAAAAAAAAAATTTTTTTTCCTGATGTTAAAATAAGCAAATGGTCAGCAATTTGAAACAATTACCTTTATCTTAAAAAATTATTCTTTATTCAAAATAAATCCTGACTGCAAGCTATTACTTAAATATAATTTGAATTATATCAGAGACAATCACTCTAATATATTTAACCAGCAATGAAATTTTACAAGTAAATGTGAGAAAGGAAATGTTTTAGTTTATTTCAACTCATCAAAGGTCAAAGAAAATGGCATTTGGGGGCTTGTGAATCTGATGCACATTTGTGCATTGGATCCTGGATGGCAGTATGCTTAGTGGTTATATCTTAGGCTCTGCAGGAAAGCTACAGCTCCTTTCTCATAGTGGCTATGCCTCCTTCTAGTCTGAAAGTCCCTTAACTGCTCTGAAGCTCCGCTTCCCCATCTATAAAATATAAATAGTATAACTACCTATTTCACAGCAATATTTGAAACATTGACTCTGGTGTGCACGGTACTCAATACTATATATTATTGTGCATTTTGATTAATTTTGACTTTTCCTGCATATTTTCTTTTTAAAGTCAAATGGTCAAAAATGAAAAGGAAAAAAAAATCATGCCTTCCTTCTCTATTTCTTTCTTTTGGCTGTCAGGGATATGGTTACGGGGTTTTCTATGAATGAAGAACATCATCTTACATTTTCACATTTTAGTCATAAAGATGTATAGGGATTACCTTAGTCTTATTATGTTATATAGATTACATTTTAACTAGTGGTCTCAGAATCCATCCAGTCCACTTGACATGCAAATCCTTGACTGTTGAGCACATACATGACCATGCCCTCAGGAGAAAGTCCCTTGTCTGCCTGAGTTCCACATCATTTCCTAGTGCAAGTCCCTTGTCACCACAGAGGCCACCATAGGAGGGATCCCTCCAATGTCAATTAGGTATCATCAGGCTGACCTGCACTCTGGCCTCAGGGAGTCTTAGTCGTAAACCAAAATTGCTTGAGGAGCAGTAAAGAGTATTTTTTGGGGGAGAGGTTAAAGACTAAGGATGCTGTCAGTAGACTGCATCTGAAGGAAACCAAAAGAAGGCACTAATGGGTGAAAGCTCTTAACCCCAGAAAGTCAGCTGAAAGACTGACCAGATGGCCACATGATCCCCGGAATAAAGAATTCAATGGGAATTGAATTGGTGCCCTGCCCTGAGTTCCTTTTATATGTGCAACTATGCTTGATTCTCAAGGACACGGGTTTTCCCCCAACTTTAATATGCTGAGCCCAGGACATGCTAAATAATTACTATGCATAATTTATCGCTGTTTTTATTTAGTTCCTTTGTAAAGTCATCATAAGTTTAGCTACAATCAATCCAGGTTTAAATTGAATGAACTCTGCCTTGGGAAAGGAACCATTTTATTGCTGCTAAGGCCCTGTAAATAACTGCCAGCAAAGCAGGAAGGATTATATAAATGGATTAAGAAGTGCAGCAATCATCCATTACAAGTGTCATCTTGATATAAATGCTGAAGCTGGCCTGTACTTTTCTGCACCTGTGGACAGGGCTGATGCAGAGGGCCAACTCTGCTGCTTGGGATAATGAAAGTATTTTATTTATTTTTTTAAATCTAGCATTGCAGAGGAAAGAGGTGCAATTAGCAATAAGAGGCTGTGATGTGCGGGAAGGAAGGGATAGGTACTGAGTCTCTGTAGTTCAGCCCTCTGAGTCTCTCTGTTCAATACTGAGTCTCTTGTAGTTCAGCCCTCTGCTAGGCACCTTACACAAATGACTCCGTTTCCTTTCTCCCCACTCTTTGGAGGTGGGTATTACTTACACAAAGTGAATAGTAAGTGGGAAAAGTGGAATGGAAACCCTTTTCCCTTTTGCTCTCTACTGTCACAGCAAGCAGCATGGGAGAATGATGGAACCCAATAGCTGAAGGAAGGACAGACACCTCCACTTCCCGCTGTATCTAGCTTTTCTGTAGGCTGCTGTGCTAGAACCAGGGTGCTGAATGCTTCCTCCTTATCTCCAGAATGTTTCCAAGACAAATTACAGTGCTTTCCCTATAGAGATGTAGCTGAACCCAAAAGTGCCCTCTTCAAAGCAGAATAAGGAATGTATGTCTTATTTGCCTTAAAACATAACTCTGCTCATTCTATAAGTTTACTGGCTGCACTGGTTACTTCCATTTCTTGTCCACCAAAAAGAGGTTTACCGTGCTGTCAGTGTTATGCATCAACTCCCTAATGTGAGTAAGAGCTGAAGCCCAGTGTGAGTGCTGTAAAGTCCAGCTGCCCTGCTGATGAGGGGATGGAAACCACCAAGGCGCTCAATTTAGAACTAGAACCAAAGCATTCTTCTGACTGGATGCAAACAACTTCAAAGCAAGATTGCAGACTCGCCGAAACCGGTTTGGCTCAATGGATAGAGCGTCGGCTTGGGGACTGAAAGGTCCCGGGTTCGATTCCGGTCAAAGGCATGTACCTTGGTTGCGGGCATATCCCCAGTGGGGGTGTGTGCAAGAGGCAGCTGATCAATGACTCTCTCTCATCGATGTTTCTAACTCTGTATCTCTATCCCTTCCTCTCTGTACAAAATCAATAAAATATATTAAAAAAAAAAAAAAGATTGCAGACTCTCTGCAGGAGATACTGAGTTTCCAGTCGAGGAAAACTAATTAGCAGTGCAGCAGAGCAGAGAGCCAGACCAGGGACTGAGCAGTAATTAACACCTCCAGTGGTAGGTACTTCTGCGGGAAGGGGGCTATGGTGTGAGCCTGCTGGGAGGCAGGGAGGCCAAGAGGTACAAATCCAGAGAGAAGGGCTGCCCTTTGCTTCCCTGCTTCAGTCTCCATGGCGGACCAGTATAGGGCAGCGAGGGTGTTCAGATTATAATTCAAAGGCCCATTACTTTCAGGCAACTTGCCTAGTTCACCCAGGTGTACATATGTTATAATTCCTCTTTTGCTGTCCTTTTGAATTTGAGTCTTCTTGCCTTTGCTTGGCTCTTCAATGTCAGTTAAGATGTGGGGCTGTGCCCACCCAGCATAGCTCAGTGGTTAGGCATCGACCTACGAACCAAGAGGTTCGATTCCTAGTTAGGGTACATGCTGGGGTTGTGGGTTTGATCCCCAGTTCGGGGCATGCAAGAGGCAACCAATCAACGATTCTATCTCATCATTGAGGCTGTGCACTGACAATATGTTGGAAGGGCTGAAAGGTTTCACTGACCTCAAGGGCTTCCCCTGGACATGTTAATCCAATGCGGGGCCCTGCACAGTGCAGTAGGAGCACCCTTCCACCTGCAGCCCTGCCCTGAAAGCATCGTCCAGTTACGGAAGCTCTTTGGGCTGTGATAAGAGTTCTGGGCTCTGAGTGTTGGGGAGGGAATGTGTAAAGCAATGGTATATTGGAGAAGGCACACCTTTGTTCAGTGTCTAATCCATGAGAGTTCAGGTGTGGAAGAACGGAGAATCAGCCTGCTGTTTTTGATTCCGACCATCTACACGCCTAAGTACCCAGGTAACATGAAAAGTTCTGCACATGTGTGATTGCACGAAATCCCCAAGTACCTATGGATTCCATGCCATCATTGCCCTTATTTTTAGAGTTGAGGGAATTGAGCTTTTGAAAGGTTAAGAACAAAAGTTGTCCAAAGCCACACTGTCAGTGACAGAGCCAGGGTTTGAATCCAGGTTTTTTTCATGCCTCTTGCATGTATGAGCCTCCGTCTGAAGATTTCAAGAAGGATGCTAAGAGCAGCTTCCATAAGCCATGCTAGAGCCTTCCCTCTAGAGTAGTGGTTCTCAACCTTCCTAACTCCATGATGCTTTAATACAGGTCCTCACGTTGTATTGACCCCCAAGCATAAAATTATTTTCGTTGCTACTTAATAACTGTAATTTTGCTACTGTTAATGAATTGTAATGTAAATATCTGTGTTTTCCGATGGCCTTAGGCTCTACAGCAGCAGTTCTCAACCTGTGTGTCACTAGCAGGCTCGCCTAAGACCATCGGAGAACACAGATATTTATTTACATTACGATTCATAACAGTAGCAAAATTACAGTTATGAAGTAGCAACAGAAATAATTTTATGGTTATTCAGAAAGGTTGAGAACCTTTGCTCTAGAGGATGCTCAGTGACCAAATGACCCAGCTTTCTAGGTGTGCTGATTGGCACTGACCTGCATCTGATCTTTAGCAGGCAATATAATTCATTTCATCTTTTCCACCTGAACTGCAGGGACTTTTGTCTATCCATGATTTTCATTTTGTCTAATCATTTCCTTTATTTAGATGCTTCTCTTCCACTAAACCATTAGGTTCCAGGAAGCAAGGAATTAATTGTCTTTTCATACCATCTCTCCTAGTGCTCTGCCCCCAGTGAAAGGACCAAATGTAGGTCATTTAAGTCCACCTCTTCTAAAACTATTTGGTTTCAACAATTGGAAGCAGGGTACTGTTGAAGGAAACACAAAATATTTGAGTCTAAGCACGTGGATGATTTTTGAATATCTGAAATAATCAATTTAAATCAATAAAAAAATAACTGAAGTCATTAAGCACCCCTGGACAATTGTTTCTGATTTTCTTTAAATATCTATCTTACTCTGAATAACAACCTAGAAAATTAAAACCAATATTAGAGAGCCCTGGTCAGGTGGCTCAGTTAGTTGGAGTGTCATCCCATACACCAAAAGGTTCCAGCTTGACTCCTGGTCAGGGCACATTCCTAGGTCATGGGTTC